AATAGCTCCCCTGATGATTATGCTGATGGAATTTTTAATGAGCATAAGAGCCATTCTGTTGCACCTCTCCCATCTCTCATGTACTATTTTATCTTCAGCAGTACTTTTATCAGTGAGGGCAGGAGGGGCAGGCTCTCTCAGTGCATAATCAAAATCCAACATGCCAAGAGTTAGCATCAGTGAATCTTTCCATGAAGAAAAATTCGCACCGTTCAAGGTTTCAATTCCCATATTTGGGGCTGATAGTGGATTCAGATGAGAGAAATAAGACACATAATTAAAGAAGAAGTTAGGGGTAATGAACTAAGGCTGGCGAACTTAAGGACCATTATATAGTAATGAAGCTGTGATAAGAGTCTATTATAACACCAAAATAATAGACTAAATTTAATTCTACTTAAACAAATGGCTTTCACTTTGGTTATGACCACTTATTTAAGTATTATGAATAATAAAATAATGATGTGCAATTTGAATGTAACACATCACCTTTGGGCAGAAGTGAAACATTTAAATTTTAATGCACACATATATTTAGTTCGCAGTACACAATTATAACACATCATCTTTGGACAGAAGTGAAAAGTTATGTATTTAAGGCGAGTGTCATGCAAATATCTATTTAAGGATATGCACTAAATGACAATGCTTAATTAGACTTGAAATAAATTTTACAAATGTTACACATCACCTTTGGGCAGAAGTGTACTCTAAGGTATTATTCAAGTCAAGCAAAATAAATCAATTTAACTAATCATAAAATAAATTTTATTTAAGATTAGTCAAATGATTTATAAATTTAATGTTAATAATTAATTAACCGCAAAAGTTATAGCGGTTCGGGGCGTGGCTACAAAAATTGAGGACCCATTAAGATTAATTTAATTAAAAAATCAAAAGGCATATAAGGCAAGAGATTTTCCAACAAGTAAAAAGAAAATAATTTTTTTTTATAATGGTATTTTAGCATATCCCTTATTTAGTTTTGCTATTCTTGGTAAAGTAAATTAATAAATAAGGAAATAGAATATATTATGCAAAAGTGAGATATGCCATACAATTTAAGGAAACACAATTATATTTCAAATTAAATACCAAAAGTCAAAATAAGGATGAACACCTTAAATTATTCAACACAAAATTATACTTGCTGATTTCGAGAACAGATCAATTTGTGTTTTTTTTGGGTGGAAACGCAATACACCAAATCTTAAAAAACATTTTTTTTGTTTTGTTAATGGGGTGCCGTATGAATTTAATATTATCTAACAAATTAGAGAACATGAATTGGAAACCCATTAGCAAGCAAGTTTAAACACATAAATTTCGTTAGGGTTAAAAACTACTGATCTGATCTCAATTTCAGTATCTTACGGAATGAAAATAGAATTGATTAATCAACATATAGCTTTAATTTGATACCACATGTTGATCAATTCTTAAACATAAAATATAAATTAAGAATTTAATCATGCAGTTAGGGATGAGGCCATGATTCTCACGCAGATCGAGTTCCCGTGTAGGGTGTATCGTTATGATGGCTAAGGTGAGAATGAGACTCACGAGAATAGAGAAGCAGAGAGGAGGCGTAAGATTGGTGTGTTGATCTCTGCCTAATGACCTCTATATATATACACCCAAGGGGAAACCCTAATTAGGTCATAAGGGTAATTACGTCCATCGAATAATTACCAATTAAATACGTAGGGTATTTATTAGGTCAATGAACAATTAATTAGATAAATGATAACTCAGGCCACATAATAAAATCGTGTCCAACATTTTTATCTATATGGGTCTGTCTTTGACTACAAAAGAGAAGATCATAAAAAAAGGTGAGTCGCGGGTGAGATAGGGAGAATAAACGGTTGTCCCCTTCCAAGGAGAGAGTCCCTGTAAATGAAAGCGAGATTCTTGTTACCTTCATTGCAGCTCTTGTTTTTCTATTTCATCAAATAAAGCCGGATTATCAAGTGTGCGAAGTGATTTAAGTGAGGTCTAATGGTGAAATGGTTCTACAAAGTTTATTTCCCCCAAGCTTATATCCCACTCCACACTCAAGTATTTAACATTACAATCTTCTAGTAGCTATAAAGTTCTTGTTTATGCGTAATAGTAACTTCATCCCTTTCTTGACAAAAAACTAAAGAAAAAAAATCTAACTTTATCATTTGGTTAGTTATAGTCATGAAGGATAAGACAGTTCTTGAGAATGGGTAGTCATCATCTAGAGGGAAATTAATGAAAGAAAAAAACTAAACTTTATTTTTAAAAAATATCTTTCTCCTTGCTCTCGCATTTTGGTGGTTAATTTTTGTAAGCAACTGATGGGCCGATATCCAGAGGACGGCCCAAATGAACCATTTAAACAGCTTCGGGTCAAGCACCTCTGAAATACTCAAGCTGGGCCGGCCCAAGGAGCTGGGCCTAGTTAACCTCAGGCAGAGTCAGTCCGGAGAAGGAGACAGAGCTGATTGGCCGTTACAGAGCCGGGAAAAGGGGATCGCGCCCTTGGCGGGCTAGACTATCGGTTATGCTTCACCTTAATTGTTTAGAGCTCATGTATAAATAGAGGGGACCCGAAAGGGGAGAACTCAAGCTAAATCAAGCTAGTAATACACATCCAATTCTCGAATTCTTGTTCTTAATTTTGTTCTTACGATCCGCTCTGTAAACCGGATCATTTGGTGGGTTTATTGTCCATCAAATTGGTGCTCTTGTTGAGAGTTCGAGAATCATACTCAGAAGAAATCCTCC